AGTACATTGTTACATCTGCCCAGCAGACTAATATAGGGCATCTCTAATAATGAGAGTCAATTCATTAAGTAAACACGACAGTCTTTAAAGTGTCTGTATCTAATAGAGCATCAGATAAATGACACAAAAACTGACAGAATAAGCAGAGAAATAGACAAATCCACAATCATATTTGTAATTTTTTATTTTTTTGAGACAGAGTCTCTCTCTGTTGCCCAGGCTGGAGTGCAGTGGCATGATCTCAGCTCACTGCAACCTCCGCCTCCCGAGTTCAAGCAATTTCCAGCTAATTTTTGTATTTTCAGTAGAGACAGGGTTTCACCATGTTGGCAAGGTTGGTATCAAACTCCTGGCCTCAAGTGATCCACGCACCTCGGCCTCCAAAAATGATGGGATTACAGGCATGAGCCACTACGCCCAGCCCATAGTTATAAATTTTAACATTATTCTCTCCATAATTGATTGAGCTACTCAACAAAATGTCAGTAACCATATAAACTATATAAACAACACTTTAACCAACTTAACCCAGAGTTTCTCAACCTCGTCACCACTGGCACTTGGGGCTGGGAAATTTTTTGTTGTGGGGGCTGTCCCGTGCATAGTAGGATGTGTCACTAGACGTTACCAAATGTTTCCTCGTGGAAGAAAATCACCCCTGGTTGAGAAGCAATGGCTTGTTTGACTTTATAGAACACTACAACCAAACCCCCACATTTTCAAGTGTATATAGAACTTCCACCAAAACAGACAGTATGGCTCAAGAGATTCCAAAAGATTGAAATCACACAAAACATGTTCTCTGACCAAAAAGGAATTTAATTAGAATAGTTTTTGTAATTTTGGAAAATCTCTAAATAAATAGATCAAATGTTAATAAAATACAAAATATCAATATTTATACAATACAGCTAAACCTGTAGTTATCTTAGAAAAAAAAGATTCAAAATTAATCACCTATGATTTTGCCTTAAAAAGCTAAAAAAAGAAGTGCAAATTAAACCTAAAATAAACAGACAAAAGAAAATTGCAAATATAAAAGTGAAATCAATAGAAACAGAAAATAAACAACCAACAGAGAAAATAAATGAAACCAAAAGTGGGTTCTTTGGAAAGGTGAAGAAAATCGATAAATTTCTAGCTGGACTAAGCAAGACAGAGCAGAGAAAACACAAAGTACCAACATCAGGGATGGAAGAGTCGACACCACTACAGATGCTACAGACGTCATGCGGTGGAGCAGGGACCCCTCCTCGCGACCTGCTGGGCCTCCCCTCCCACTCTCCAAGCATGCAAAAAAAGGAAAATCTTGAATCCCTTCAATGGCAATTCCAGACACCTAGCTGACCTGGAGAAGCCAAGGAGCAATCTGGTGAGCAAGAAGGTAAGAGCTTAAAACAACAGCCAAGGAAGTTAGAGTCACCGTTTGGCTCCTATGGAAACTAAAGAGGACATCTTAACATATGTGCCTGGGCTGTTTTTCAAAAACCCAGACCCCCCACCAACTGGAAAATGCCATCTGCTGGAACTTAGACCTAACATAAGGGGGAACCGATCACGATTCTTTGTTTTAAATTTCTTCCTGAGAGGCCTGGAGAGTGTCATGTCCACAGGCCAGAGCTCCATATTCCTTTCTGTGGACTTCAAGTTTTAGACAAAGTTTTGCTTCCTTGACCGATTGAAAATAAAATAATCTCTTAATCTACCTATATCCTGTAGGCCCCCACCCCCGCCTTCCAGATATCCTGCCTTTTTAGGCCAAACCTCCATGTATTGACTTACTATTTTGCCTATAACTTTTGTTTTCCTGAAATGTATCCCTACCTTTAAAAACCCTTGCTTGTAAGCCAACAGGGAGGTCAGACCTTAAGCGTGAGCTGCCCGGTTTTTCTTGCTTGCTACCCTGCAAATAAACATCCTCCTTTCTCTCCCTGCAAAACCCTGATGTGGCTGTCGGCCTTTACTGTGCTGGGCAAGAAGACTGAGGTTTGCTTCAGTAAAAATAGAAAAGATAATAAAGAAATACTACGACAAACTCCATGCCAATAAATTTTACAACTTCGATCAAATGGAAAAGTCCTTGAAAGACAGAAATCACCACATGAAAAAGGAAATCTGAAAAGCCTTTCATCTGTCTATTTTTTAATGACATAATTTCAAACCTTCCCAAAGAGAAAACTCGAGGCCCGGATGGTTTTCCTGATGAATTTTATAAAAGCTTGCACAAACTATTTCGGCAAACAGAGGAGAAAGAAACACTTTCCAACTCATTTCAGAAAGCCCCCATAACCCACTAACATACTTTAAAAACCATGACCAAGTGGAGTTAATCCCAGGAATATAAATTTGTCTTAACATTCAAAAACTTATCACCACATCAATGCAATCAACATCCAAAATTTTATCAACACATTAACACAAAAGATGAGAAAATCAAATGATTGTATCAATTGATCAAGAAAAAAACATTTGACAAAATACAACCATTTGTGATTTTTTTTTTAATTGGAGTAGGAATGAACTTTCTCGATCTTATAAGGGTACCTACAAATATATATGGTTATCATGCCCCTTACTGGTGAAAGACTGAATGCTTTTCCCTAAGATCAAGAGGTGTCCACCTACCATTTCATTTCAGCACAGTAATGGGGATCCTTCCCAGCCCAACGGGCAGGGAAAAATTAGTAAAGGTCATAAAGACTGGAAAGAAAGAAAACTGCCTTTTTCACGGAAGATATAACTGTGCACATGGAAAATCTCAAAAAGCCTATCAAAAAACTTAAGGACTAATAACTAAATTTACCAAAGTTGCAGGATACAAGGTCAACTAAGAAAACTTTTTTTTGTTTCCTTTTTCTGGATGCTTCATTCTTTAACAGCTTTTGGGGGATATAATTGACATATAATAAGCTGCACACATATAAATTATGCAACTTGGTAAGTTTTGACATGTGCGTACGCCTGTAAAACCAAAACTATGGGCCGGGAGTGGTGGCTCATGCCTGTAATCCTAGGTGGCCAAGGTGGATGGATCACGAGGTCAGGAGATCCAGATCAGCCTGGGCAACATGGTAAAACCCCGTCTCTACTAAAAACACAAAAATCAACCAGGTGTGATGGTGTGCACCTGTAATCCCAGCTACTCAGGAGGCTGAGGCAGGAGAATTGCTTGTACCTGGGAGGCAGAGTTTGCAGTGACCTGAGATTGCGCCACAGCACTTTAGCCTGGGCAATAGAGCAAGACTCCATCTCGGAAAAACAAGCAAACAAAAAACCCGAAACTATAGTCAAGATTATGAACATATCCATCACCTCTGGAAGTTTCTTCCTGCCCTCTCTTCCATACTTCCTCTATCCCTGGACTACCACTGTCTACCTGTCACTACAGAGGTATCGTTTTCTAAAGACGTATATAAATGGAATCACAAAGTATGTACTTTTTTTGTCTGACCTTTTTTAGCATATTTTGAGATTCGCCCGTGTTGTAGCCGGTACCAGTAGCTTTTTATTGCTAAGTACCATTTTATTGCAGGAATATTCCCTAGTATCCAGTCACCTATTGATGGACATTTGAGTTGTTTCCAGTTTGAAGTTATTCTGAATAAAGCTACGATTATAAACATTTTGTACAGTTTTTGAATCAACATATGCAATTTTCTTTCTATACAGGAACAAGTAAATTTGAAAATAAAATTAAAAGCACAAGATCATTTACAATAGCATCTGAAAAGCAAAAATTACTTTTATTTCTATTTGAAATACATTTTTACACCTTTTATGTCTCTGTTAATAATGAGAAGAACTAAGCCTTCAACGAACTGGAAAGCTAGGTCACCCCTGGTTCTCTCATCTGGAGCATCCCAGATAACTTTTTATGGCAACTTCGATATGGTAATGGCTGTAAATCAATAGCAATCATTTTCTCTCCATAGACACTGTCTCTTGTTTCCCAAACCAAAGTCATGACACATGGGCTGAAAATAAGTATTCTCTGACTCATGGTTGTATTAAATAAAGTTCTGGGTTAATCATCGTTAGCTTTGCATTTTTAAGAAAAAAGAGATCAGAGAAGGACAAAGAGAAGGAAGGGGAAGAAAGACATGATAAATCACTGAGTATTACCTCATGTGGAAAGCTAAGACTTACAAACCTGTGGTTATAGAACGCCTAAGGCACATCCTCAAACAGTCTGAATAACAAATCTCAGATTATTCTTTGTTTCTAATATTTTTAACTGTGGCAAAATTCACATAATACAAAATTTATCATCTTAGCCACTTTTAAGTATAGAGTTCAGTGGTTGCTTTCACCTTTTGGCTACTGTCAATAACGCTGCTATGAACGTGGGTGTACAATTTCTCTTCAAGACCCTGCTTTCAATTATTTTGGCTATCTACCCAGAAGTAGAATTGCTGGATCATATGGTAACTCTATTTTTAGTTTTTGGGGGATCTGCCATCCTGTTTTCCTTGACAGCTGCCCCATTTTACATTTCCACCAGTAATGCACAATGGTTCCAATTTCTCCACATTTCTCTAACACTTGTTATTGTCTGGTGTGAAATGACAGATAGATAGATAGATAGATGCATACATACATAGATTAGATAGATAGATAGATACATACATACATAGATACATAGATGGATACATAGATGGATAGATAGACAGACAGAGCCATCCTACTGGGTTTGAGGTGGTATCTTCTTGTGGTTTTAACTTGCATTTCTCTAATAATCAGTGATGTTTAGCATCTTTTCATGTGTTTATTGGCCATTTGTATATCTTCTTGGAAAAATATCTGTTCAAATCTGTCTTAGTTGCTGGGCTGCTGTAACAAAAATATCATAGACTGGGTGCCTTCAAAAACAAAAATTTATTTCTCACAATTCTGGGAAGTCCAAGACCATAGTGCCACAAGATTCAATTTTTTGTTTTTTGCGTTTTTTTTTGAGGTGGAGTCTCAATCTTGTTGCCCAGGCTGGAGTGCAATGGCATGACCTCAGCTCACTGCAACCTCTGCCTCCTGGGTTCAAGGATTCTCCTGCCTCAGCTTCCCAAGTAGCTGGGATTACAGGCATGTACCACCATGCCTGGCTAATCTTGTATTTTTAGTAGAGACGGGGTTTCTCCATGTTGGTGAGGCTGGTCTTGAACTCCCGACATCAGGGATCCACCCACCTCAGCCTCCCAAAGTGCTGAGATTACAGGTGTGAGCCACTGTGTCAGCCGAGATTCAGTTCTTTCATAACAAAATCTTTTGCTCATTTTTGAACTGGGTTTTTTTTTTTTTCAGGTTGCTGTGAAGTTTTAGGAGGCTTCTACATATCCAAAATATTAATCCCTTATTAGATACGTGATTTGTAAATATTTTCTATCATTCTATCTATTGACTTTTTAGTCTGTTGATTGTGTCTTTTGATACACAAATTTTCAAAATTTTATGAGATCTAATTTGTCTATTTTTATTGCCTATGTATTTAGTGTTATATCCAAGAAATTACTGCTAAATCCAATTTCATGAAGATTTTGCCCTATGTTTTCTCCTAAGAGTTTCATAGTTATAACTCTCACATTTAGCTCTTTGATCTATTTCGAATTAATTTTTGTATATGGGGTTAGATAAGGGTCCAACTCCATTGTTTTGCATGTGGATATCCAGTTTTCCCAACACCGTTTGTTGAAAAGATTGTCTACTACCTATTCAGTGGTTTTGGCAACCTTGTAGAAACTAATTTGACCATTTACACAGAATTTATTCCTGACCTCTCTATCCTGTTTCATTGATCTAGCCCCATATTTATTCAGTACTACAGTTTTGGTTACTGTAGCTTTTAGTAAGTTGGAAATCAAGAAGTGTGAGTCTTCCTATGTTCTGCTTCTTTTTCAAGATAATTTTGGATATTTAATTTTTCTTGAGATTCATATGAATTTCAGGATATATTTTGCTATTTCTGCAAAAATGTTCGTTTGGATTTTTATGGAGATTGCACTGAATTTGTAGATCACTTTGAGTAGTATTGACATCTTAACAATATTAAGTCTTCCAATCCACAAACATGGGATGCCTTTCCATTTATTTTTGTCTTTTTAATTTCTTCCAGCAATGTTTTATAGTTTTCATTGTACAAGTCTTTCACATCCTTGGATAAGTTAATTCCTAAGTATTTTATGCTTTTGATAATACTGCATATAAGATTTTTTTCTTAATTTCCTTTTCAGATTGTTCACTGTGAGTATACAGAAATGCAGTTGATTTTTGCTTGTTAAAAAGAAGTGGCAAAAGTGGGCATTCTTGTCTTGTTCCTTATCTTAGAAGAAAAGTTTCAATCTGTTACCACTGAGCACGTTGCCTCTTGCTGCAGTTTTCTTACTCAGCTTTTCTTATGTTGAGATGGTTTCCTTCTATTCTTAGAGTGTTGCTTCTTTTTATTGTAAGTGTTTAANCATTTCTGATTTTAGTAATTTAAGTCTCTCCTTTTTTCTTGGTCAGTCTTTTAAGCTTATTTTTAAAGGGTCATTTTCCTTAAAAATAGCTCCATCACGGCAAGTAAAGGAGTGGGTGAATGAGTGAATGTATCACATAACTCCCCTCTTCAAGTCCCAGTGTGCCCTGCCCACCATATATGGAAACAAAACAAAACAAAACAAAACAAAACAAAACAAAACAAAACAAAACAACACCACACCCCAAGGCCAAGAAAAGGAGCAACTCCTGGAAGCCAGTTTTTCTCAGAGATGCATTCAGGAAGTTTCACACCAGTTTCCAGGTCCAGGCCATTCTCAGCCCCAACTCTTTGAAAGTTGTCCAAGTTCTCAACCAGTTTCCCCTGGGTAGAGAAGAAGCAAGCACTTCCAGTTGAACACAGACTGGACAGCTGACTGGGGGAGACAGTACTTGCCTTCTCCCCCTGCCTTCTCTGCACTGGGGCTGCCCCACCCACTCCTGCCTTGGCACTGCCAGGGCCCTGCTCTTCTGGCTGGGTCAGCCTCTTGCTGCAGTTTTCTTACTCAGCTTTTCTTATGTTGAGATGGTTTCCTTCTATTCTTAGAGTGTTGCTTCTTTTTATTGTAAGTGTTTAATTCTGTTAAATGCTGCTTCAGCATCAACTGAGATGATCATGTCATTTCTTTTCCTTCACTGCATTAACGTGGTGTTTGACATTGATCAGTCTTCACAGGTTGAACCATCCTTACATTCTGGGTATGAATCACATTTGATCTTAGTGTATAATCTTCTCAATATGCTGCTGAATTCAGTTTTCTCGTATTTTATTAGGGATTTTTACCTCAATGTTCATAGCTTGGCCTGGCTTTGGTACTTAGGCAATGCTGGCCTCACAAAATGAGTTAGAAAGTGTTCCTTCCTCTTCAGTTTGTTGAGAAAGTTTGAGAATAATAGATATTATTAAATTTTGGATAGTGAAGCCATCAGATCCACAACTTTTCTTTATTAGGAGATTTTTGATTAATGATTCAATCTTCTTACTAGTTATAGGTCTTTTCAGATTTTTTATTCCTTTGTAATTCAGTCTTGGTAGGTTTTATGTTTCTAGAAATTTGTTCATTTCATCTAGATTATCCAATTT